AACAACCCGATACAAATTATGTTATTGGTAATTTAATTTTTGTGATTGGCAAATAAAATGGTTGATCATTTTCATTATCCAATTATATTTGTAATCCACACAGAGAAAACTCCGTTTGAAAAACATTGCACAAAGTTGTGCAACGTTATCCAAGATAGTTGGATTGGTTTTTCTAATTAGTTTGTTTAAGTCAATTTTATATAATTTGTTGGAAACAGTAATATTTTATATTTAATCATTCGCACAATATAGTCAAGAAAAGAGTTGAAATCTGCTGTTAAAAATTTCAAAAATAAATGTTACTTTTTGTACAATTTTTTAAATAATTCGTATAAATATAGTACAATTTGTTCGGGAGTGAAGAATCACACCATCTAAGTTTCATTTTCCTTTTTACCACGCTTTATTAAAATTTTTAAATAAATTGGAGAAATTATTATTTAACAATGTTGTGTTATGTGCCACAATTTGTGCAATTTCACCATAAAATATTATATTAAAAATGTCTTCAAAATACTTACACAAATTATATGAGCCGATTAGATTAAAATATGTTCAAATGTTAAATAAATTATGTAAGTTTTTAATTTAATAACTTAACTACAATTTGTTGAACAAATCCATACAATTATAAGTATTATTATAATTATTAAACCAAATCCAACAAATTTTTCTCTGTGTATGATTTTAATGGCCAAATAGAAGATGCATTGTAATCGTGGGGTAACTAATAATGGTTTTAAGATATCATGTTTCTTAAATAGCGACTATTAATCTTAAAATTTAATGGGATTATGCCTTTCAAAACAACATAATTAAGATCTATAAAACCCTATAATGAATTGCTCATCTTATTTTTAACCACTGGCACTATTAATTCAAATTTAATAGAGATACATATACAATGTAGCACACCCCATGGATTCCACATTACCATTTTAAAGGTTTTTCTCGATTTAAAATTGGGATCACGTTTCACAGTTCAGTGAAAAAGTTACCTAATCTTCCAGTATTTTTAGCTATAATTAAGTTAATTGACCGGTAAACGAGTTTAAAGAACGATGGGGTTAACTATTAATTGAAGCGCATGCACTTGACTCCTTTAACCAAAGGGGGATTAAGAAATAAGTTACTTAATTATAGAGTCAGAATTCAAATAAGACGAGTATAATTATAATTACCACCCATATAAAACTAAAAAACTAAATAACATTGTTACCCTTATCCCTACATAACTTTTAATTTCACTCCTACAAGATGAAACAGTTTTTATTGAAGCAGTTATACGCTTCATTAACAAAGCCTAATTAAAACTTATCCAGCTACTTTCGAACCCGCATCAATTTTGTCAGCCATCCTAAATACACATAAACATTTAACTTAACATAAATTTGGTAGATTTCGATCAAAAGGTTCCTATAATTAATGAAGTCCAATCACTACTTTTATGGTTTAAATTTAATAGTTTTACCGCAAACTGATTGTATTTTATGGGAGTTACTGCACCTGGTAGTAAAACTTAATTAGGAAGAATTTACGGGCCCGAAACTGATCCTTGCGGAACCTAAACTAACACGAAAAGAAATAGTTTTTAATTGAGTCCTACAATATTGTTGTAAAACAATTGTGGTAATAAAATGTAACCTAATGTACTGGTAATGTGTAAAACAAGCAACTAACCCCATTGTAAAGATTTGCATTGTTTGTGTAAAATAAAAAATAAACAAATTTTGACAATAATGCATTTAGTCTGTGATGAATTACGCAACAATACTAACTCGTGTAATACTACAATCCAAGTTTGTGTATTTTTGCTTCGTTGTTGTGGAAAACTTATTCGCAAGTTGTTTGGTAGTTTTAAATTAAGTTGTTTATAGTATGAAAATCCTTTTCTGATTGGTTGATTCAAGCTTATATTATTATGTTTTGCCTCTGGACGGTGTACTCTATCAAAATATAATTGCAGTTGAGTCTTAGTTGAGTGCCTACATATGTATCTAACCCTATAGTGTTAAGTAGTAGTTATAGTGCGCTATAGCGGTCAAAACTATTTACCCTAGTTGTAAACAATCCAAAATTGACCGAAAAATATTTTTTGTAAATTTATTCGCAAGTTGTGTGAAAAATGTGTGCAAGTTTGGTAGTTTTAAATTAAGTTGTTTATAGTAAAAAAATCCTTTTCTGATTGGTTGATTCAAGCTTATTAGTGAGTTTTGCCTCTGGACGGTGTACTCTATAAAAATATAATTGCAGTTGAGTCTTAGTTGAGTGCCTACATAATATGTATCTAACCCTATAGTGTTAAGTAGTAGTTATAGTGCGCTATAGCGGTCAAAACTTTTTACCCTAGTTGTAAACAATCCAAAATTGACTGAAAAATAATTTGTGCGAAAATAGCAATGGATTAGTTTGTGGCAGATTTAATAATGGGGTCTTAAAAATCGTATCGAAAAATTTAAAAGTAAGTTAATTTCATGTTCCTAGCTTCCTAATCCTAGTTGTCCTCGAAAACATACCTTGCACCGAAAAAAATAATGTAGTTGAGTTAACATTTGCCTAAATGTCATTTTTAAAAATGTTGTTTCAACAAAAAACCTATTGGATTAATCTATATTTTGGTGTTAAAGCAAAAGTCAGAGTTTGTCAAAGTTTATTTGTTCATTTGACAGTTTAAATATTAATTTAACATAAACTAATATTTTGAATTAAAATGTTTATCGTACTTTGATTTAATAGCTGGAATTTGTTGAATCAACTACTGAAATTTTTAGGATTACCTAAAAAAACTATTAAATTAACGTTTAGTTGCTCTTTAATCCAAAACTTTAAATTTGTTCATTTAACAAATTTAAAATGTTACTTTAAAATTTAAAATGTAAAATTTGCATTCATAAAATTGCCGAGAATGGCGCTTCGAACACTCACGCCACGTCATTAGACAATGACGTTTTCTTACATCTCGCCTTAGTTAGCTTACGATTAGGTGTATATAAGATGAGATATCTGTTTGTTTAAGGTGTGTTCCACAGTAGAACTTTCACTACACCATATTGCCCGACACTGTTAAGACCCTCAATACAGGGCGAAACAGTCTGTCGGTATTTGAAGTAGGTGGAACACATGATACAAAGATGTATCATGGGTGGAACACGCTCAAAACAAAAACTCTGGGCGAGGTGAAGGTTCAATTCTTTCTATTTATATATAATAATATATTATTTCCATAATTTTGTTTTGGATACCAACCTTTAAAGAATTTTACATTTTCAGAATGTTAATTTAACATTTTATTGGTGTTAAGTGAATATGCTAAAAAGGTTACCTGGACATTTCAAGAAATTTACCTTAACACCCTAAGAATGTTAAATTAACCAAATTAGCAGATTAGAACAAATATTCTTATTTTGTTCATTTGACTGTTATTTGTTGTTCAATTAAACAATGCAATTTGACATTTTTAGATGGTTAAGTAAACGTGCAAAAACCATTGCTTGTATTTAAAGTGCATAAAGAGTTGAATTAATATTTTTTTTGTTGTTTCAACAGCTTATTTTTTTCAGTGTGTATAAATGGTTTTGCTTTAAAAATCTAAAAACAATACAACATTTTTTGTAATATGTTTACTTTTCATAAAAACAATTTATAAAATAAAAAAACAAAAAAAGGGTTCATTCGACTCAAAAATGGATGGACAAAAAAATTATTATTCGTAAGTAATATCATAAGGGCATCTAATTTTTCAGAAAAAAAATCAAAAAAACAAGTAATATTTTAACAAGAAGCATGAGTGCTGGTGGCAACAAAAATCCGAGTCGAAGAGGAGGATTTTTGCCCCTGCACGAATGCATTTGTGTTCGATTTTTAATTTTTTTCACAGGAAAAATTAGATGCCCGAATGGTATTTGACAAGACTATTTCATGAGTAACAGTTAACAATTAAAATATAAATTGCAATTTTTGGTGACAACAGCCGTCAAGTTTTGCCACGGGTAAACTCGAAAAAACTGCTGACAGGTGCTGTCACACAGTTTTTTCACCTAGAAACCATTTGTCAAAATTCCGCGTTTGTGATTGGTGGAAATTAAGACGAGGGAAATAGTAATTGGAAAACCATATATAATTCATCTTTTAGGTAATCGAAGCAGCTACAAGTGAACCAATGGTATTTTAACCAAAACAATGGAGCATCGCGTTCATGAAATATTATATATTTTTTAAATAGAACACCAGATATATTTGTACATTTTTTATTAAAGCAATATAAGAGCGTTCCAAAACACCCATATGTGTAATATTTATTTTTTTATTCGTCACTGAAATACGTATTTATTTTAAATCTGTAAGGGGTGTATACTGCAATTTTAGCATTAAGTTTATTTTTAAGACTAATATGCTGATTTTTATACCAGTAATAAAACTAGTATTATTTTACACTGCTATTGGCTTTTTTATCCCCTATCCCCTTATCCAACTTCCCAAAAATATATCGACGATCTGCTACAATTTGTATGAACAAATTTAGCCTTACAATATGCTACAATTTGCAGAATTGAATTTTGGACGTTGCTTGAATAATTACTACAATATTGTGTCATTTTCGAATGCAATGTCTTTTATTTTTACGACAATTTGGAGAAATACTTTTTTAGTAATTGTTGTAAAAAAACTCCACAAAGTTTTGTCATCTTGTACCATAAATTATGATATTTATGTACACACAATTATAACCTTTTCTGGACCCAGATTATAGTGACAAACGCAACAAGTACATGGCAAAAATGCACATATAAAAATATGTGTAGCAACTTCAAATTGCTTTTCTAGGTTTAATAAATTTGTTTGATAAATTTGTTTTAATTTTGTTTGATTCATATATTTATATTGATTTTGAAAACAAATTTCTTTGCGTGCAAATACTTAAAATCCCTTTTTTTGCAGATTTAAAGAAGCAGTTCGAGGTTTACCCGGAGACCACAACGAAGGTGGAGATCGGCCACCAGATGGAGCTGAAATGCATGCCGCCTGCAGGAATGCCGCCCCCCAGGGTGTACTGGCTGCGGGGCGATCAGGTGCTCCAGTCAGACACTGCGGTGCTCGTGACGAGCGAGGGGCATCTGTTAATTGGACAGGCTCGCACCCAGGACACTGGAAACTACACCTGCGTCGCCGAGAATATCGCTTCGAAAAGGACCGCTCCAATCTCGCAAATTATCGTTTATGGTGAGTTTGTTTATTTAGGATGCGATGATGATTACAGCGGTGAGATGGATAGGTTTTGTCCTTCCATCCCATCCTTTATATATTCAGGATGTGTTGGCGTTGTTTATATAGAGGAAAGCGATGATGACAGCGGTGGGATGAAGCGTTGACAGTTATGGGGAGTAATTAAAAACATTGTAGTCATTAATAAGAGACGTTGGGTAATAAGAACAACAAGAAATACTTACATAATTAATCATAAGTAATCCCTTGGCGAATTTGGGCTTAAACTTGTGGGCACAACAGCCAACTACACGGTCTAAATTGTGATGCTAAACGCCAGCCATTAGCATTCTCGTTATTTATTTTTGTTTTGCTTGGTTGGTAATGTAATAATTGATGTACTGTGGGAAAACATGGCCCTGTGGTGATTAGCACAGCCACCTTCCTAGTTTTTGATACTTTATGTGCATTAAAATGGGGACGATATGCAAAGTTTTATTAAACTTTTTATTTTGCTGTCTGAACATTATCAAACATTAAATATTCATTAGATAGTTTGCGTTCATTATAAACGTGGTACTTGTAAATTGATGCCACCACCTCCGGGGAAGTACATGAATTTGAATTTTAAGTTTTAAAATTACCATCACAAAGTTACAAAAATCCAGCGCTGTTATTTATTGAAAACGTTTGCGTTTCTTATCGCGGGTATTAACAAGATATCTTGGATAAATACGGAAAAACTTAAATAAATTTACATAAAATAGATATTCTAATATTTATATCTTCTTGTTAGTTTTACAAACATTACTTTATTTAAAGCCTTCAACCAGCCGATAAACTCGAACTAGGTCTGTCTATAGTTTAAAGTATTAACCATAAAATTGTTGTTAATTTATGTCAGCTTTGAGAAACGCCGCAGATAAACATCTTTAAGAATAAAGAAATTAAAAAGTCGTATAAACAAATATTAAAACATTCTTTAAAGAATATTTTTTCATAATACCTATATGTTATTGTAGTGTACCGTATTGATAATTATATTGGCCTAGGGCGTTAAGCTTAACATTACAGTTTGTAGGTTTGTACGCTGACATTGTTAAATTGATAAAGACAATTTTTAGTAAAAAATTATTTACAATACAATATTTATGCATAACATTATATATAACATGTAACATTATTGAGCAAAATTTCCCTAGTGAACTACCGAAAAATCCAATTTTTTTCAAATTTTACTGAATTATTATACTAGTTATAAACTACTAATCCTGTAAACGCTTTAGTTTTCCTTTGAGAAAGATTTCTAATGAGTTTAATATTTATTTAATAATTTTTTTAAATATTTTTTGAAAAAATTAAAATATTTTAAAATTGCAGATTATTAAACTTTTTTTAAATGAAAAAAAAATCTTTTTTAATAAAAAGAATGAAAAAACGTTATATTTAAAATATATTTTTTTAATTTATTTTACTGTTTGATCAGCTAAAACGCAGAAGTGTGTTATCTGTCATCTGTCATCCCCCTTGTTTTAGCGCATCAAACAGTTGAAAATCTTTAAAATTTAATTACAGTATTAAACTTATGTAAATGAAAAAATAGCTTAAAAAGTTAATTTTATAAATATTTAAATTTATTTAAAAAAATGCATAAACTATTTTTTTTAATTCGTCACAAAAAACTGTATACTGTAATTTGATGACCAGAGGTAATATAGCAAAATCTTTTACAGGATTAATAATAGTTAATAACTAGTACTACCACTTGGTAAAATTTGAAAAAGTTTGGCAAAGTGAAAATTTCGTCTGTGGTACACTTGAAAAATTTTGCCCCTTATATGTTATTAAATTTGCTTGTTTTTTTAATAATAAATTATTACTAATCACTTTATTTTATTTAAGAAATTGTACTTTTAAATGAGAATATTACCAAAAAGTACTATAACTTTGTTGTGATATTTTTCATCGACAGCTTCCACATTTTTTGTTGAACCAAATTTGAAATGCTTGATATTCTTTTTTGTCCAGTTTTAAAAATGTTACTTCAAAAAATAGTTTAACAAATACCCCACAAGAGATTCATAAATTGAAAATAATTATCCAGATCTTTTCTCAAATCTGTTCTGCAGAATTACATGTAATTACATGTAACTTGAGCCCTTCGGTCCAACATATTTTCAAGAGTCTGTCAAATTATTTCAATTTATTTTTACTCCCTTGTGATATTACTACCATTGATCAAGAAACGCTACCACTGAATATTTTTTAGGAATTAATTGTTAGGACCATCTTCACTCTTTATATTTTGGATTGGTAGCAAAGAACTGCTTTTTATTTTTTTTTTGTATCAGTCAGCAACTGTTTTTAATTTAAGTCAAGGGGAACAAGGGTTGTCATCGTTAAACCGGATCGTGATATTCCCGAAAAACAATCGCTAATTGGATTGTTTTTTCGATCATAAATAAAACGAAATCCAGCAGAAAACAATCATTAGCAACTGCTGAGACTATCTTAATTGCCTGCACCTTTTACAAGTTACAGAGTGGAGAGCTTGTGACAGATCTACAACGCCCTATGCGCTCTGCGTTAAGTTATTTTTAAAAAATAATTAGTTTCGGAAGCTCAAACAACGCCAGAGTGGAACATGCGACGAAGCAAAAACGCAGCAGGCGCATTGAGGACGGTATTTTCAGTGTTTTCAGTTCAGTATCATTAACAAGAACCTCTTCACCTTCCAGACAAATTTACATCGAAACAAATGAAGCGCGAGCGGTTTATTTTTAATCGCATTTGCTCTCCAGAATACTACTTTAAAAAACAACTAATGGGTCTTACCATCTCAAATCGACCAGTCAAAAAGGGGTAGGTCGTTATTTTTCAACGAATTTTTTTACAGTTTTTCTACCGAAATCGATGAAACCCGTATTTTTTTGTCTTAAATTTGTTTTGTTTGCCCGTAGGAAATTTTTGAAAAATGACAGAAACATCAATTTCTGGTTTCACCGGAAAATGGTCTTAAGTCTTTATTAAAACACCCTACGTAATTTTACCTATTTTGTTTTAAAATAAAATTCTGAATACATGCATATGTCATCTGTCAATTTTTGACAGGTCAAATCATTCTTTGATTAAATTTTATTTGTATATCCAGAGTGCCTTGAATTGGCTTTTCTGCTTCATGTTTGGCCAAGTAGTCTGGGCAAAATACAATTTTATTCGTTTTTTTGCAATGCTGATTTTAGGAGCTTTCAAAAATTGAAAAACCATACTTAAAACCAAAACGTTTTTTTTTTAAGAGGGTGGTTCGTTTGTTATAAAAGAAATTCACTTTTTTTAAATTTGATACCAAATATTAATGCATTTTTTAAATAATATCGCTTAATTAAATTTGAATGTTTATTCAGTTTCAAAGTGAGTACAGAAGTAAATAAATTAAGAAGGCTTTGAAACCTTTGTGTGTTTAAAAAAGTATCAGATTTGACAGTTTGTTAGTTTGTTTTGCTAGTAAGTGAATATTAACATTTTATTTTATTATGAAAACTTACGCTTTTGGTTTTAAAAGTAGGTACTAAATAAAATCATTCAAATATTTTGAAACGATTATAAAAAGTTATATCTAACCGCCCCATAGTGGACCTTGTAGGGAATCTCTGGCAATAATAAAAAAAAAAAGAAATATGAAATCAAATTAAACTATGTTATTTCTAAATATAATTAACCTGCGCATTAGCTTCTGGACTTCTTAGGCTTAATACTTATTTTACTTCTTGATAGAGCCTTAGATAAAAAGAGTTTTGCGAGTGCCTCACTCATATCTGTTAACCGACCAAATTTTTTCGGAATTGTTTGTGTTGAACATTTCTTCGAAATCGGTTTCTCATTACTTTCATTATTTTAACCAAAATTAACTTACGTAGTATACTACACTTTTTACATCTTTTAAAAGTAAGACATGCCAAAATATTAGGAACTTACATATTACTCTAAAATCTTTAATAATTTAATTTAATTACTTAAGACCATTTGTGACAAAAATATGTTAAATATGTCTAAAAAAGTTCTAAATTACACTTTATATAGGTCACCCCAGTTTCATTACCCAATAGGGTAATAATATAGATAAAAAACCGAATTTTTGGCATTTTCATTAAAAAAATAATAATTCTGAAACGACGAATTTAGCCAACTTGGGACTTTGGTGAAAGTTGTTCATTTAATCAACGAAAAAAAATGAAGTAAAAAAATGTGGCAAAATTTTAAACTCAATTTTTTTTGCCTTTTTTAGAAAAAAATATATAAATTCACTTAATTTTTTATATTTTTTATTGTATTTAGTAAACTGTAAAGTATCTAAAATGTTAGAAAATATGTTCTTTTTTCTTTTTCCTCATTCAAATAGATTACTGTCCCTTCAAAGAACAATTTCACCTATAAAATAATAGACACAATTAGAACAAAAGGTTCAGTTGTTCTATGTTTTAATTGGTTTAGCGTGGTGACCTTGTGGCGTCCAAAGAGGGCCATTTTCCGCTTTTCCTTTTCTTTCCCAAACTAATTCGTTTCAATTAATGTTTTTACCCTTCCACGTTGATTAGTCCCTCTCCTCTTTCTCCTGATACGAACAAATCAATGACGTGTTTCCAGTTTTTTTTACTTTGTAAATGATAGATGGCCATGCCACGCGCTTTGAGGTTTTTGTGTGTTTTTGGACCCATCTAATTAATTAATAGGTTTTAAATTGTCATCGGTCATTTTGGACACTTCGGGTCCAAAACATTTCATTTAAAGTTAAATCAATAAAATTAGTTCAATCAACTAAAATGTTAAAAACATCAAAGCCTCCGTGAAGGAGTTCAAAATTGAATTGTCAACGAGTTTGTGTTTGGCCAATATTTGGACAGCAACTTGCCGAGCACACGTTCGATGGCAAATACACACAGGTTGTGGCGAAGAGATCTTATTATGCAAATTTAAATATCATTTCGGTCGAGAGAAAAACCTCGGCTAAACCGTTTGATCTCGTTACCGATGCCCGCAGATTCACGTCTGTTTCTACGAGAAAAACGTGACCTGATAGAAAAATAAATGGGTCAGGAACTTGGTTTTAAAAGGGATAAGGTGAAATTGAGTTTAAAGTTTTTTAGGGTCACGTATAAAAAATTCCGGG